GGAAGGACGATGAGAGAAGGGGAGGCGAGTTAGAGTGGGCAGAGCGATAAGAAAACCGAGGTCGAGACACGAACCAACTTGCCGCACTTGATTGCATGCAACACGCCGTGCCCAGGGATATGTACTGGGGCGCGCTCTATTCGAGGGTGCCGTTCACCGAGCAGCGCTGCTGCTGTAGTTCGGCGTCGAGGTCATCTGAATCGCCGGGCTCTCCTGGAACATGCTGTGCTGGGGGCTGCCCACCAACATGACGACCATGACGGAGACACCGGCCGGCACCAGGTGGGGCACGATGGCTGGGCTGGTTGCCAGCGGGCGCTGCGGCAGATGGTGCTGCAAGTGGGGCGGCGCCGGGAAGGCGCTGCGGGTCCCGAGGAGCTCCTGCGGCGCCGGCCGTGCAAACCCCACGACGCGATCGCCCGCCTCAGGGCAAGGAGCCTCCCGGGAGTTCCCTGGCAACGGCGTCGCGCCGCGTCCCAGTGGCGTGCTGAGGGCTGCTGGGCTCAAGCTGATGGCCGGGCCAGGCGGCGCGCGCGTCGGCCTGCCGAGCTCTGCGCTGCACGGCGAGCCGACGGGCGACGGCGCATCGGCAGCCTGGTCCTTGCTGATGATGAGCGCGCGAAAGTCTGGATTCCGAACCTTGGCCACATGGGCACACTTGGCCTTCGCGGCGTTGGCTTCGTAGCCCTGGGTGTGAGCTGGGGACACGTCCACGAGCTGCTCGTGGCAGCCAAATCGCTCCGTGCGGTGCCAGGTGGCGCGGAAGCGGGATGCATCGGCGGCCTGCTTGAAATTCACGAATGCGTACCCCTTGCAAAGCCCGGAAGAGAAATCCCTGGGGATGTAGCAGATATCGAAGGTGTCCTCGAAGCCAGTGGCGTTGAGCTCCAGAACGAAGTCGTGCTGCTTCAGCGTGGGGGGCAAGTTGCGCACCATCAGCGTGGTCACCTTGCCAGGCTTGGGGATGATGCCAGCAGCCTTCCCCTTCGTCGGGCGGCCACCTGCACTGCGGTTGGTGCCGTCGCCCATGGGAGAGGCTCCACCATCGCTTCGAGCGTCGGCGCTGCTGCTGGACACCCGCCTGTTCGGGATTAACAACTGCGGGCTGGCCGTGAGCGGCTGGGACTGCTGGGGCGCCCATGCAGCCCTGCAGCGCGACTTAGGGACGGCGTACTTCCTGGCGTGCGTCGGGGGGGCCGCCTCAGCAGGCTCCTCGCAGATGGCCCTGGTCCAGGCCTGCAGCTCCGACTTGTCCGCCCTCTGCTGGAGCACACCAGTGCCTCTGGTCACCTGCCCACCTCGTCCGACGTCAGGCCTAAGCTCCAGGTCCGTCCAGTCCGCCCAGTTCGCATTCTTGACCACGCAGCTGGCGCCGCTGCTGGAGTCGTAGTCACTGCCCTCGCTGTCCGTATTCCCCACGGAAATGGAACTGCACGCACCCACGCCATGCTTGGGGCCGCCCTCCGAGCTGCTGCTGCAGTCAGCTGTGGCCGCCGAGCTGGCGGTGGACAGCTCCTGATCGGCGGTGACCGTCTCTTTGGACGCGCACCTCGACGGACACATCGTGGCCTCGTCGGGCTCGGGGAAAGGTCCGTGGCCTGCGGCCAGCGGCCACGTCCTGGTGCGACGGCTCGTGCGCTCGCAGCGCCACTCCGCCTGGGGCGCCGTCACTGCCATTGCCGAGGTCAGGGGTCGGGGGTGGTGCCCGGTGCCTCGTCCGGCGCTGCCAGTGAACGAATGCTTGAGCCAGAAGGGCGGCGGAAGCTCCCAGGCTGCACCCAGGGCGGCGCAAGCGACCCCCAAGACGGCTCCAAGATCACCCGAGACCGCTCCGAGGCGACCCTCTGCCTGCCCAAGACCAGCCAAGGCCAGCTCCAAGACGCCCGCTGGATGGCTCCCGCGCCCTCGCGCACAGCCCCAGAGGGCCCCATGGAGGGCCAGCGGAGACCCTCCGAGACAGCCCGACGACCCCCAGCAGGCCCGAAGCGAAGAACCTCGCAAAGAGCCAGGGGAACTGCACGCCCCCGATGCCACGCACGTCACGGCCGCCTGGTCCGTGCGCGCGGGAGAGCGTGTCGTGCGTCGCGGCCCTCAGGGGCATGGGCGCGATGGCTGTCGCATGCTGCGGCCTCCTGTGCGGTCCTCGAGGGGTGGCCACACGAGTGCTGAGCGGGTGGGGGTGGGAGAATAGGGGAGGAGGGGCGGGTGGAGGGCGGGGGGACGGGGGACATTGGCAGGTGAAGGAAGAGGAGACGAAACCATGGATGATGGGCCAACCCCAAGCTTTCGGGGTACTGCTCTCCCCGTCAGCCACCGTCGTCGTTTACGCGACTCCTGCTCGCACATGCTATTCAAAAGGTCTGGCCGCCTTCGCGCAGGTTTCTTTATTGACCCGCTCCCTATAAGTTTAAAGTGTCAGGCGAAGGACGATATGTGGCGTCTACTTGAGAAGGCATGGCCAGTGCCCAGTCGAAGAAATTGCGATGCACCCATCTTTTTTGTGTATCCTATTTTTTCTGGTGCGCCTCCCACTTAGCATCAGCGCTGCGCTTACCCCCACTCTGTCAGCTGCGCCGTCGGACGGCTCGTTGAGCCCGCTGCATCATCTGACAGACGCGGGATTCGGAGCAGAAGCGATGAATCCCGCAGCGTGGCGGCGACTCGTCAGATTCGCGTAGGGTAATAAATTCGCCGGCCCAACGGGCCAGAGGCGTGTTAAGATCTCCAGTTGCTGGTAAACAATATGTCTAATTCGCGCGCGCGAGGCGGCCCCTGGGGGTCCCCAGACGAAAAAGTACCCCGGTCGGTCCGACTCAGAGATGGGTTTTCGTTCTGGGCGCGGCTTTCAGGCGCCACCGAGCGCTCCTAGAGGGCCCCAAGAGTCCCCAAGACGGTCCAAGAGGGCTCCAAGTCGCCGACCGATCGGTCCAAGACGCCCGAGATAGCCTCCAGACGGCCGCAGACGCTCCCAAGACGCCCAAAGAAGCCTCGACGAAGCGTCTCAAGAGGGCTCCAGGAAGGACAAACCATCGATGTCCGTTCAGTTTTTGAAGGATTTAGGAGTTCTCATCTGTTCGGCTTCCCGACGCTCCAAGACGGCCCAAGAGGCCCCACGCATCGCCCCGAGACGGCCCAAGAGGCCTCCAAGAGCGCCCCAAGAGGGCTCCAAGACGGCCCAAGAGGCCGCCAAGACGGCCCAAGACATCCCCAGGTCGGCCCCAAAATTGGGCCAGGTGGGGAACCCGAACGGACATTTCGAACCCTCTGCCCCAAGAGGCTCCCAAGACGCCCAAAGAGGCCTCGAAGAAGCGTCTCAAGAGGGCTCCAGGAGGCACAAACCATCGATTTCCCTGCGGTTTTTGAAGGACTTTGGGGTTCTCATCTGTTCGGCTTCCCGCCGCTCCAAGACGGCCCAAGAGGCCCCACGTATCGCCCCCAAACGGCCCACGAGGCCTCCAAGAGAGCCCCAAGAGGGCACCAAACGGTCCCAGAGGCGCCCAAGATCGCCCAAGAGAGCCCCAAGACGGCCCCGAGAGGGGCCCAAGAGGGGGAGCACGGACCACCAATTCGAGCCTTCCGCCCCAAGAGGCCCCTGGAGGCCCCCAATAGAGACCAGAAGGCCCCCTGAAGGCCGCACGAGGCCTCCAGGAGGCCCCCAAAAAGATCCCAAGAGGCGCCTAAGAGAAGAGGCCACGAACGCGCAGGCAAAAGCCTGCGATGGCACAATACGGGCCGGCGGAATGAGCGAAGCGATTGAATTCGCCGGCCCAACGGGCCAGAGGCGTGCTAAGATCTCCGGTAACTGTTTAACAACATTCTGCTTCGCGCGCGCGTGGCGGCCCCTGGAGGTCCCCGGACGAAAAGTACCCCGGCCGACCCCCGGCGGATCCCTGGGCGATCCCCGGCCAGGTCAAGCCCCAGGGGAGGGCAATTTTTTGACACCCCTCACGAGGATCGTGGCTTCCGAGGGGGGAGCCGCAATCGATCACCCCTCCTATCGCCCCCCGAAAGGTTCCCAAGAGGACCCTAGAGGCCCCCAAGAGGCCCTAAGATGCCCCCACGAGGCCCTCAGGAGGCCCCCAAGAGGCCCCCAAATGCCCCCCCAAGCACGCAAGCAAGTGCCAGCGATGCTACAATATGGGCAGGCGGAATGAGCGAAGCGATTGAAAAAATGATGCATGGGGCACAAGTTGGTACTCCATTGGGGTACGAAGATCGGCGTGGGGCACACCCGCGCCGCAATTTGCTTCGCTGCGTCCCACCGTCGCCTCAGCGCTGCTTGGACCCAAGCGGCCGCTGACAAAAAAGAGTGGGCAAGGAGGCCTGGGCGGCAACCGCTTTCTGCCGCGCCCGGACTGGCGGATGCTCCGCGGCGAATCACCAGCGGGAGTAGCCGCGGGCTGCCGACGCTGCCGCGCGGTCGCCCGGCCCGGCCTCCTGTCACGCCCAAAAGATTACGAGGGGCAGCCACAGATCATTCCCCTCTTGCTTTTCCAGTGGCTCTCTCGTGACCCTCACCAGCCCATGAGCGAAGAGGTCGTCAACGGGGGCGGGGAGAGTGGGGAAGCGGCACGACCACCAGCTCGCGAACGGACGGCACAAGCAGCCCCCGAAGGGGCGCAATGCCGACCACCGCGCCAGGCTCTCCTGTCGCCAACCCCCTGACCCCACCGAAAAAGGGTATACACGAATCCTGTGCCACCACTCCGCCTCCCCATGAGGCGCGAGCTTCAGGGGCCAGGGGGCGGTGAGCTCGTGGCCTCTCCGCCACGGAAGAATTCCCTCCGAGCAGCTGCCTTCTCTGTCCGCCCCCGCCTCCTCCTCCGTGTGCGCCTGCTGCGGGCCGCGGCGCCGGGGGCTCCGTGCGTGCTTTCGGCGGCCGCGATCGTGGACGTCTGGTCCCGCATCCGGGGCCTGTGAGGGCTCTGGCTCCTTCTCCCTACTCCTCCTCCTCCTCCTCCTCCTCCTCCTCCTCCTCTCCCTCCTCCCTTCCTTCTCATCCCCGTCCCCCTGAGATTCGTGCCGGCTGACATGGCCGCGTTGTGCCGCTGCTGCCGACGGAGAAATGAATGCACCAGCCATTCAAGCACGGCGCGAACTATCGCAAAGCGTGTGGGCAGCGATGCAACCCATGACCTACAAGATTGGCTCAGCCGCCTAGGTCGCCGCCAGAAGAACTCGTACTGCGAGAAGCGCGATGACGCTCGCACCTGAAAGTCAAACAAGTCAACCAGGAAGGCGCTGTACATCCTCGTGCACGCGCTGGGACCCGGACACTGATGGTCTACGCAGCCCTTTCCTGAATGCGGGAAGGAGGTACACACATCAATACCCAGAACAACGTGTCATGCAAAGACGGGCGTCGAACGCTTCTTTCGGCATGTGCGCGTGCATATGAGGCATCCTGAAAGGAGGAGGTGGAGGAAGGACGATGAGAGAAGGGGAGGCGACTTAGAGTGGGCAGAGCGATGAGAAAATCGAGGTCGAGACACGAACCAACTTGCCGCACTTGATTGCATGCAACACGCCGTGCCCAGGGATATGTACTGGGGCGCGCTCTATTCGAGGGTGCCGTTCACCGAGCAGCGCTGCTGCTGTAGTTCGGCGTCGAGGTCATCTGAATCGCCGGGCTCTCCTGGAACATGCTGTGCTGGGGGCTGCCCACCAACATGACGACCATGACGGAGACACCGGCTGGCACCAGGTGGGGCACGATGGCTGGGCTGGTTGCCAGCGGGCGCTGCGGCAGATGGTGCTGCAAGTGGGGCGGCGCCGGGAAGGCGCTGCGGGTCCCGAGGAGCTCCTGCGGCGCCGGCCGTGCAAACCCCACGACGCGATCGCCCGCCTCAGGGCAAGGAGCCTCCCGGGAGTTCCCTGGCAACGGCGTCGCGCCGCGTCCCAGTGGCGTGCTGAGGGCTGCTGGGCTCAAGCTGATGGCCGGGCCAGGCGGCGCGCGCGTCGGCCTGCCGAGCTCTGCGCTGCACGGCGAGCCGACGGGCGACGGCGGATCGGCAGCCTGGTCCTTGCTGATGATGAGCGCGCGAAAGTCTGGATTCCGAACCTTGGCCACATGGGCACACTTGGCCTTCGCGGCGTTGGCTTCGTAGCCCTGGGTGTGAGCTGGGGACACGTCCACGAGCTGCTCGTGGCAGCCAAATCGCTCCGTGCGGTGCCAGGTGGCGCGGAAGCGGGATGCATCGGCGGCCTGCTTGAAATTCACGAATGCGTACCCCTTGCAAAGCCCGGAAGAGAAATCCCTGGGGATGTAGCAGATATCGAAGGTGTCCTCGAAGCCAGTGGCGTTGAGCTCCAGAACGAAGTCGTGCTGCTTCAGCGTGGGGGGCAAGTTGCGCACCATCAGCGTGGTCACCTTGCCAGGCTGGGGGATGATGCCAGCAGCCTTCCCCTTCGTCGGGCGGCCACCTGCACTGCGGTTGGTGCCGTCGCCCATGGGAGAGGCTCCACCATCGCTTCGAGCGTCGGCGCTGCTGCTGGACACCCGCCTGTTCGGGATTAACAACTGCGGGCTGGCCGTGAGCGGCTGGGACTGCTGGGGCGCCCATGCAGCCCTGCAGCGCGAGTTAGGGACGGCGTACTTCCTGGCGTGCATCGGGGGGGCCGCCTCAGCAGGCTCCTCGCAGATGGCCCTGGTCCAGGCCTGCAGCTCCGACTTGTCCGCCCTCTGCTGGAGCACACCAGTGCCTCGGGTCACCTGCCCACCTCGTCCGACGTCAGGCCTAAGCTCCAGGTCCGTCCAGTCCGCCCAATTCGCATTCTTGACCACGCAGCTGGCGCCGCTGCTGGAGTCGTAATCACTGCCCTCGCTGTCTGTATTCCCCACGGAACTGAAACTGCACGCACCCACGCCATGCTTGGGGCCGCCCTCCGAGCTGCTGCTGCAGTCAGCTGTGGCCGCCGAGCTGGCGGTGGACAGCTCCTGATCGGCGGTGACCGTCTCTTTGGACGCGCACCTCGACGGACACATCGTGGCCTCGTCGGGCTCGGGGAAAGGTCCGTGGCCTGCGGCCAACGGCCACGTCCTGGTGCGACGGCTCGTGCGCTCGCAGCGCCGCTCCGCGAGGCCGCGACCGGCCTGCTGCTGGGGCGCCGCCGCCGCCATTGCCGAGGTCAGGGGTCGGGGGTGGTGCCCGGCGCCTCGTGCGGCGCTGCCAGTGAACGAATGCTTGAGCCAGAAGGGCGGCGGAAGCTCCCAGGCTGCACCCAGGGCGGCGCAGGCGACCCCCAAGACGGCTCCAAGATCACCCGAGACCGCTCCGAGGCGACCCTCTGCCTGCCCAAGACCAGCCAAGGGCCAGCTCCAAGACGCCCGCTGGATGGCTCCCGCGCCCTCGCGCACAGCCCCAGAGGGCCCCATGGAGGGCCAGCGAAGGCCCTCCGAGACGGCCCGACGACCTTTAGTAGGCCCGAAGCGAAGAGTCTCGTGCGGAGCCAAGGAAGCCGCACGCCCCGATGCCACGCACGTCACGGCCGCCTGGTCCGTGTGGGAACTGGCTGCAACATGCTACGGCCTGATCTTCGCTGGGACAGCGAGTCGTCACGTGCTGCGGGCCCTCACGAGGACATACTGCATGGTACGGCCTTCTAGGCGCCGACAGAGACAGCCCTAGCACGCTGCGCCCTGCTCGGGCGCGCGGGAGAGCGTGTCGTGCGTTGCGGCCCTCAGGGGCCTGGGCGCGATGGCTGTCGCATGCTGTGGCCTCCTGTGCGGTCCTCGAGGGGTGGCCACACGAGTGCTGAGCGGGTGGGGGTGGGAGAATAGGAGAGGAGGGGCGGGTGGAGGGCGGGGGAGACATAGGCAGGCGAAGGAAGAGAAGACGAAGCCATGGATGATGGGAAAACCCCAAACTTTCGGGGTACTGATCTCTTCGTTAGCCACCGTCATCGTTTACGCGGGCCCTGCTCGCACATGCTATTCGACCGTCTGGCCGCCTTCCCTCAAGTCTTGATGGGTCGCTCCCTGCAGGTTTCAAGCGTCTGGCCAAGATCCTTTGTGGCATCTACGTGGGAAAGCATGAGCAGCGCCCCGTCGAATGAACCGCGATCAGATCGCACCTGCACCTTTATCACGAAATCGGATATTCGTCTGAAACGCGTGCGCTTTCAGATGGTACACTGCCGCACCATGTCATCGGCATGAACACAAACGTGCACTTCAAAATGCTGCTTCATACGTCGCTTCCCATCAAACCTCAAACATTAATTACCCTGGATGCTGGGGAAAATACATGCATCTAAAAATCATTCTTTAATCTTACCGCTTTCCAGTTGCACTCCTCAGCCCCATAGCCACCGCATCGTGCGCGCGCACGCCAGTGTGCGTCTGGAGGAGGCTCGGACTTGAAGAGGGCCGTAGGCCGATACACCGGCCGACGCAAGGCGACTCGAAGAAACACTGCGTCGTCATCGGTGCGACCACGTGGTCTGATTTGAGCCGGCTATCTCAGCGCCATGTCCACTGGCCCCGCAGTCACCCGCGGGGCGAAAGGCGAACTGTGCTCTGGGAGGGTTCTTGGCGCTGCCTGGGACATCCTCGGGATTCTGAGCTTCCAGATGTCGCATGTGAGGTGTTCCAGCCCGTTTCGCCTGAGGCATCCTCGCAACTCGGGGCTCCCATTCTCGAAATTCTGGTTTCCGAGAGGGAGGGAGTCAGGCCCAAACGAATGATGTGATTCCACATCTGTTGTCGAGTTGTGCTCTTGGAAGGGTGGGGCTGTCTGGCAGGCGCCGCAAACCAACCAAACCCGATCGGCGCAAAGTAGGATCGTCGGGGGCCCCTGGCGCCCCAGACCTCCCTCCGCTACGCTCGCGGAGCACGGTGCCCGCCTGCACATGCTGCGGCATTCATGTGATATGACGAGTGTGGTTAAGAGACGGGCGACTTCGGAAGCCCTGAACCCCCAAAACCGCTTTCACCTCCTGGGCGCGCATCCTCTGCTTCCGCCGCCCTTCCGCCGGCGGAGGCAGCCTCGCTTCACTGCCGCCGACCTTCCGCCGAGGAAGAGATGACGACTCTCTCCATCCTCGAGGGTACGGCCCTCTCTGGAACGCCTCGTACAGCGCCCCGGGGGTGCACGGTGGCTCTGAGCCCGGACGCGCCGAGGGCCGCGGCCCCGAACACCAAGAGAACACGTGCCAGGAACGGGGCACCTGCAGGACAGTCCGCTCCGGGGCACAGCCTCGAGACGACGCGGACGCCTGAGAAGGCTCCCAGATTTGCACTTGAAGCATTTGCTGCGGGCACCTGCTGGAGAGGAGTATCTTGTCCATGCGGCTGGCTTTACGTGCGTGTGTGTGTGTACATGTATATGTATGGTCTACCCCAAACGCCACAAGCCAAACATATTCTCATCTCTTGAGGGGCATCTATTGCTTCCACACGCCCTCCGCCGGCGTCCGTCAGCGGAGCCGCCCCCGTGTTGCTTCCGCTGGCTCCCGCCGAGGAAGATAGTCAACAGACCGATCCCTCGAGAGCAAAGCCCTTTCTGGAGGGCTTCACAAGTTTTATAGCACACAAGGGTGATAGCTTATTCCACCAAAGTTTGGGCACTCAGCCAACAGATCTCTTCGGGGGGGGAGATGCACGCCAAGCAAGACTCCCCCGAACGATTCCGTCGGTGGTCCCGTCAGGCTTTGGTGGCCTCCCTGGAGGTCCCCGCAAGGTCTGGCGGCCACGCCGTCCAGTGGATCAGCAGTTTTGCCTGCCGTGCAGTCAGGCTGCTACCAGCAAGAACGCCCCACAAGGAACGAGGCTCCTTCTTGGCCTCAAGAGCGCCTGGGTGCACGCGGCGCGCGGGAGGAACATCCGTGGAAGGGCCTGAGGGACAGGAGGAGGAGGAGGCGGAGGAGGAGGATGAGGAGAAGGAAGAGGAGGAGGAGGAGGAGGAGGAGGAGGAGGAGGAGGAGGAGGAGGAGGAGGAGGAGGAGGAGGAGACGGAGGAGGAGGCGGAGGAGGAGGAGGAGGAGGAGGAGGTGGTGGAGGAGGAGGAGGATGATGAGGGGCAAGGAGGAGGAGGAGGGGAGAGGAGAAGGAGGAGGAGGAGAAGGAGGAGGAGGAGGAGGAGGAGGAGAAGGAAGAGGAGAAGGAGGAGGAGGAGGAGGAGGGGGAGGAGGAGGCGGAGGAGGAGGCGGTGGAGGAGGATGAAGAGGAGGAGGAGAAGGGGGAAGGAGGAGGAGAAGGAGTAACATGCCCCTTCCGAGCCCGAGCTGCTCCTTCTCTCAGCACGCAGAGCGGAAGCCTTCTCAGAAATGAACCGAGGCTCTCGCCCTCCCGCGACAGAGCGACCAGAACTGCACGAGCCTCGGGCGATGCGGAGCACAGCAGCAGTGCAGCGGCGATGCGCTCGGCAAGCGAAGGAAGCAACACAACCAGGAGGGGAGGCAAAAGCGAGACAAAATATGTGAGCTGAAGCGTGCAGTCGCGCTCACCCAGACATCCGGCTGCTCCAATTTTTTCGATGCGTGGGCCCTGAAGTCCGGACCACTTCCCCAGGGTCGTTTTTTCTCATCCTGAATCATTTTTTCCCAACCATCCTGTGGTGTTGGGTCCTCGTTTTGAAGAGACGGCGCCCCGCGTCCCACTCCTCCCGCTGCCCCCTCCCTCCTCCTTCATCCTCATGAACATGATCATGATCATCGTCACCGCCATTATCTTCATCATCATCCTCGTCGTCGTCGTCATCATCACCACCACCACCATCATCACCATCAGCATCATCAGCATCTTCATCAGCAGCATCATCATCAGTACCATCATCATCATCATCATCATCATCATCATCATCATCATCATCATCATCAATATCATCAGTATCATTCTCATTATCAGCATCATTCTCATCATCATCACCATCATCGTCATCATCATAACCATCACCATCACCATCACCATCACCATCACCATCACCATCACCATCACCATCATCATCACCAGCATCATCATCATCATCATTATCATCATCATCATCATCATCATCATCATCATCATCATCATCATCATCATCATCATCATCATCATCATCATCATCATCATCATCATCATCATCATCATCATCATCATCATCATCATCATCATCATCATCATCATCATCATCATCATCATCATCATCATCATCATCATCATCATCATCATCATCATCATCATCATCATCATCATCATCAGCAGCAGCAGCAACAGCAGCAGCAGCAGCAGCAGCACCAGCCGTGCGACACCCATTACAGCGCATCGTGGCCCCATAGGGAGCTCCACCGAACGCCCCAGTGGGGGTGCCCACATGCGTCCGCCACATCAGCACAGCGTTTCGTGGCCCCATAGGGATCTCCAGCGAAGGTCCCAGTGGGACCGCCCGCATGCGTCCGCCACACCCAGTACAGCGTTTCGTGGCCCCATAGGGAGCCCCACCGAACGCCCCAGTGGGGGTGCCCGCATGCGCCAGCCACACCCAGTACAGTGTTTCGTGGCCCCATGGGGAGCTCCACCCAATGCCCCACTGGGCGTGCCCGCATGCGCCCGCCACACCCATTACAACGTTTCGTGGCCCCATGGGGAGCTCCACCGAACGCCCCAGTGGGGGTGCCCACATGCGTCCGCCACATCCAGCACAGCGTTTCGTGGCCCCATAGGGAGCTCCACCGAAGGCCCCAGTGGGAGCGCCCGCATGCGTCCGCCACACCCAGTACAGCGCTTCGTGGCCCCATAGGAAGCTCCACCGAACGCCCCCGTGGGGGTGCCCGCATGCGCCCGCCACACCCAGTACAGCGTTTCGTGGCCCCATGGGGAGCTCCACCCAAAGGGCCACTCGGGGTGCCCGCATGCGTCCGCCACACCCAATACAGCGTTTCGTGGCCCCATAGGGAGCTCCAACGAAGGCCCCAGTGGGACCGCCCGCATGCGCCCCCCCTCCCAGTACAGCGCTTCGTGGCCCCATAGGGAAACCCAGCGAATGCCCCACTGGCACCGCTGCGTCCCCCACCTAGTACAGCGTTTCGTGGCCCCACGGGGAGCTCCACCCAAGGCCCCAGTGGGGGTGCCCGTATGCGCCCGCTTCACCCAATAAAGCGTTTCGCGGTCCCATATGGGGGCTCCACCGAACACGCCAGTGGCACCGCCCGCATGCGTCTCCACAACCCACTACAGCGCGTCGTGGCCCTGCAGGGAACTCCAATGAACGCCCCAATGGGACCGCCCGCATGCATCCCCCCACCCATTACGGCACACCCCATCACGCGCTGCGTCCCCCCGGAACCGGCACCCACAACGAGTTACTCACAACTACATATGGCTGGGTCCTTCGACAAGATAATTTTGAAGCTCCCGAGGCCTGGCGAGGCCCCCAGAGGCCGACAACGGCCAAAAACCGCCTGTTCCGCCGCGTTCGTAACCTTCGCGCGGCGCCCGAGCTTGTCGCTAACGGGTGACTCGGGGTGGGCGGGCGGCTTTGGGGCCTGGGCCGCCCCCCAGCGATGCATCGAACGCCTTCGGGGGCGTCCAACAGGACAGGGTGGCGTCCAGAGAGGGATAGCAAATCGGGGCGCGGGGCGTGTGCGCGGACGACAGGGCTACCAGGGAACGCGTTGAAAGAAAAAAATAACAGTAATTACTCGACGTTGAGATCACCATGTGTGCATCTCATAACTCCTATCACGTCCCGTTGAGGAACTCTGTCCATCAGTATCTGGGTGTGAGAGCGAGTCCGCGTTGGCGGCAGGCGCGACAACGACGACGACAGCGACGACTTCACTGACTTTCTCCTCCCCTGGACATCTTTCAGAAGAGACGAAGAAAACAAGTGGAACAGCGGAAGGGGGAATCCTCTTGCCGTTCTCACGGCGGCAACTCAGGCCAGCGCGCATGACGTGGCTACGCCCGCTCTCTGGCGTGCTACTCGCGACGCCTGCTGGCATTTGGGGTGGTGTGATTTGGTCTGGGTGTGAATGAGTCTTGGTGCGTGTAGGTCCGAGTATGAGTAAATTTGAATATGGGCGAATCTGAATTTGAGTGCTTCTGATTCTGTGCGAATCTGAATGTGATGAGTGAACCCGAGCGAAGAATAATAAAACAAAACACTACGACTACGACTACGACTACTACTACTACTACTACTACTACTACTACTACTACTACTACTACTACTACTACTACTACTACTACTACTACTACTACTACTACTACTACTACTACTACTACTACTACTACTACTACTACTACTACTACTACTACTACTACTACTACTACTACTACTACTACTACTACTACTACTACTACTACTACTACTACTACTACTACTACTACGACGACGACGACGACGACGACGACGACGACGACGACGACGACGACGACGACGACGACGACGACGACGACGACGACGACGACGACGACGACGACGACGACTACTACTTGAGGAGCGGCATGGGCGCACAGGCGGCGGAGTGCGGGCCGGCGACGACGGCCCCGGCGACGGCGGCTGCTTGCCCCGCGCCGCCGCGTGGCTCAAGAGGAGAAAGGCCCCCCTCCTCCCTCTCCTCAGAAGCGCGGGGGAGGCGCGGGGGGGGCCCGCCCGGGGTCCGAGGGCCCGCAAGGGCCCGGCGGGCCCGAGGGCGGCTCGAGGAGGCCGCTCTCGAGGCCCAGGGGGGCCGAGGCTCCAGGTGAGCCTCACGTGGGGGCTGCTCCGGGAAACGACTTCCCGAGCGGGCCCGGGCCCGGGCGATGGCGTCACCAGCGCGGGCGCAGCGCGCGGAGCTGGGCGGCGCCGACGTGGGCGACGCCGAGGCGGGCGCGGAGGCTGGCGCGCCGTCGGCGCAGGCAGCCGCGGCCCCAGCGGGGCCACCCGCCTCTGGCGCCGGCGCTGGCGTGGAGGTCGCCGGCTTCGAGGGCTCGCTGCTGGAGGCGATCGCCGACGGGGCCGTGGCGCAGCCGCCGCTGCTGGCCTTCGGCGCCTGGGTGCAGTGGCGCGCCGGCCCAGGTCGCCGGCTTCGCACGGCGCCCGCGATCGCGGCCAGCGAGAGCGCGCTGTGGCGGAGCACCATGGAGGCGCTGCACGGCCACGACTGGCAGGCGCGGCTGCGCCAGCAGGGCCCCGCGGCGGCGCGCAGCCCCGCGACGCCGGCGGCGGCGCAGCCGCCGGCGGCCGACGACGTCCTGCGGCTGCTGGACTCGCCGGTGCGGGCGTCCGACGCGGGCTCCGACGCCGCTGGAGCCCTGTCGGACGGCAGCTGGGGGCCGCTCACGGACGACGAGGTCCTGGAGCGGCTGCTCAAGGACGTGGAGCCGCACGAGTCGATGCGCGACTTCGAGCGGCGCCTGCTGCGCGCTAGGGCTGTGCTGACGCTGCGGCGGCAGGCGGTGCCCGAGGGCGCGGTCGAGTTCGGCATGAGGAAGGCCCGCTTCCTGGTGGAGGCGCGGGCCCACGGCGAGGGCGTGGCGGCCGCGCTGGAGGCGAAGCTGCACGCCGTCCTGGACGTCGAGACGGACGACGCCGACGAGGACGTGCGGGCGCTGATGGACCTCCTCGCGGTGGCGCGCGGCGGCGGCAGCGCTCGCGACGCCGTGGCCGGCGGGGCGCCGGCGCGGCCCCCGCGGGGCCACCCGCCTTCCCCGCGGGGCCACCCGCCCACCGGCGTCGGCGCGGCTCCCGCGGGGCCACCCGCCTTCCCCGCCTGTGGCGAGGACCTGCCGCCGGGGCTTCCCCCGCGGGGCGGGCCGAGCGAGGCGGGCCAGGCGGAGCCCAGCTTGGCGGCAGCGCTGCAGGGGCTCGCGGGGGCGCTCGGCCGGCGGGCCGACAAGAAGTCGTCGACGATCCAGGTGAAGCCGCACTACAGTCTGCCGACCCTCGGCGACGGCGACTTCGACGTGGATTCGTTCGTGGAGGAGTTCGAGGAGATGGTCGGCCTGGCGAACGACGGTTCGGGCATGTCGGCGACGGAGATGGTGCGTGTGCTGGGGACCTGCCTGAAAGGCTCGCGTCAGCGGCCTTACAAGGTCGAGCTGAAGCAGGCTCGCCGGTCAGGCAGGCTGGCGGCGGATCCCGACGAGGTGTACCAGAGCCTCAAGGAGAGGCTGATGGAGTTCAAGGAGGGCCTGCTGGAGAAGCAGCAGCGGCTCAACGCTGAGTGGAGGACGCTCTCCCGAGGCAAGATGAGCGCGCTGGAGTTTCAGGCGACGTTCGAGAACATCGTGGCGGAGATGGAGCTGGCTGGGATGGGCAAGTCCGATCGTGACTTGCTGCTCGGCTACTTGGCGCTCATCCCTCCCGCGCACCGGGCAGAGGTGCTCAAGGATCGCCGAGTGTATCAGCGCTCTGGCGCCCAGCCCGAGGTCCGCGGCGTCGAGACCTGGAGGGAGGCCCATCGCGTGCTGCTGAAGCTGGAGGAGGCCGAGAGCTCGGCCAAGGCGCTCGTCGCGGCGGTGGGCTCGGACTTCGCGCCCAGCCCGGGCGGCGGCGGTGGCCGGCGTCGGCGCGGCGGCGGTGGCGGCGATCAGGAGCCGCCCGAGGTCGGCGCTGTTGGCGGCTCCGGCGGCGCCGGCGCTGAGGGAGCTGTGAAGGTCTGCTTCCAGATGCGGGACAGCGGCACGTGTGCCCGTGGCGACGCCTGCAGGTTCTCGCACGACCGGGCTGCCATCGCCGAGTCGCGGAGGACCAAGAAGGACGCGACCGGGCCGAAGGGCAAGGGCGCGGACGGCAAGAAGGGCAAGGGCTCGGACGACGGCGGCAAGGGCGGCCTCAAGTCGCAGCTCTGCCTGCAGTTCCTCCGGGGTGCGTGCAGCAAGAGCGAGAAGGACTGCAAGTTCAGCCACTCGGGTAAGGCAGCTCAGAAGGTCATTGCAGCGGTCTATGCTGGCGCGGCCGCAGCTAAGGCGCCGCCGCCGAGCCTCGGCAGCGCGGGCCCCCCGGCAGCGGCCAGGGAGCAGCGCCTGCGGCCGAGGAGGCGGCGCGGCCCGCAGCCTCTGGCGCGGCGCCGAAGGTGCAGGCTGCGGCGGGGGGCAAGCTCGAGTGGGTGCGACCTTGTGGCGGAGTCTTCGGCCCGAGCTACGACCTCCCGCAGGTGAGCGTCGTCAGGGGCTCGCCTTCGCCCGAAGGAGCTCTGAAGGACCTGGACCAGATCCCCGCCAGCGCCTGGACGCAGGTGCAGGAGCCCGACGACGGGTACCACTACTTGTGCCACACGCATGTCTACGGCCTCAGCATCAGGACGCTCCTTGATGGCGGGGCCGTGTTCTCCCTGACGTGGGAGGCGACGATCGTCAGCATCATCAACGGCGCGATCGCGGAGGGCAAGTCTCCGGAGGACCCTGACTGGCCGATCGCGGGCCTGATGCACTGGGGCCGGGACTCGAAGGCCTCGTCGGTGGCGGACAAGGGCGACCTGAAGATCCGTGGCATGGTGGACCTGCGCCTGGCCTTCGAGGGGCTGGACGGCACGCGAGTGGTGCGCGTGTTTCGCCTTCGGCTTCTGCGCGGGGGTTGGGACAGGCCGTTTCTTATCATTCTTGGGGCCCCAGCGCTCGATGCACCCCCTCTGGGGATCGGGCACCGGCCTACGCTTCAGGGCCACTACCTACCGGGGCTGGGCATCACGGTCAAGCGTGCAGAGGCCGACGCGGTGCAAGCGAAGCTGTTGACCATCTCGGCGGTGTTCTCAGAGTGCGATGCCGATAGGCGTCGAGGTGAGGATCGTCGGGCTTCCAGTGCTGTAGGATCCCTGGTGTGGTCCGGCGCGGCTTGCCCGAGCTACCCCATCTGCATGGTCGGCGGCCAGTGCCCCGCGGAGTTCGGCGGCGGCGACACAGGCGTGATCGTGCTCGACGACTCGGAGTCCGCCGTCCCCATCTACCTGAGCGGCGAGGAGGGCGTGCGGCTGGAGCTCGGCGACTGCGCGCTGGTGCCAGCTCGCGCTAGCGGCCTCGCAGCGGGTGTCGTCGGCGACGTGGTGGCGAATGGCGCGGCGGCCGTCTGGGCCGCCCCCGGCCCTTGGCTTGGCCGGGAGCAGCTCGTCCTGGTCGGCAACTGGGACCAGCCCGGCGTCAGCATCGAGGTCGGCGACATCGTGGGCGCCGTGATTCAGACCGATGGCGAGCCGGCCGGCGACGACCCGTCGGTGGCGCACGTGTGGCAGGATTGGGACGAGCTTCGGGACATCGTTGAGCTGGAGGTGCCGACGGACGAGTACTACGCCGAGCGGCTGGTCTACTGGCAGCGGAAGTACCCGAAGGCGGCTACGACCCTCCTCGAGCATCTCTTGGCGGTCGAAGGCCTGCTGGACGTGTGCATCGCGGCCGGGTACTCCATGGGTGCCGAGAAGTCCCTCGACAGGCTGGCTCAGCCCTCCATCGAGGCGCTCGGCGAGATCGTGGGCCGCGAGGGGAGCGAGGCGTGCGAGCGGCATCTGGAGCTCATCAAGAACTGGTCGGTGCTCGAGGACGTGGCGGCGCTGCGGAGGTTCCTTGGCACGTTCAACTGGATCCGCGGCCACTTCCCCAAGGAGGTGCAGAAGCCGCTGGGGATCCTCACGCAGCAGCTCAAGAAGGACGCCGAGTGGCCGATGACCTCCGAGAAGGTTGCGGCCCAGCGCGCCATCCAGCAGCTCGCGTGCGAGGCCATCCGCCTCGCGGTGATCGACATGGTCGGGGCGATCTCGAAGGACCGCCCGCTCGAGCAGGTCGCGGATTTTTGCCCCTACGGTTGGGGCGGCAGCGTGTATCAGCTGGCCGCCGACCGCCGCACGCTCAACGTGCTGGCGATGTACGGCGGCTGCCTCAGCTTGGCGCAGAGCAACTGGCACCCCCGCAGGGGTGAGCTGTATGCGCAGCGGGAGACCAGGCGGGAGGCACGTAAGGATTTCGGTCGGCTGCCCACCCTGTGCTGGACGGACCACGCGGCAGCGGTGAAGGACGCTACGGGTGAGGCCGAGACGGACTCCACCGTCATCCGCTGGGTTGGCGAGATCGAGAGCGACGGCAGCAGGCTGATGAATCTCTCGGGGCGGAGCGCGGCCCTTGGTGATGGCCCCTCCCGAGAGAACGAGGCCCACGGCAAGTTCCTGCGCGAGCAGGCTCACTCCCTGGCGAACATCACGATCGAGGACATCATCGGTGATGACTACCGTCCGGGGGAGGGGGTCCCGTGGGGCCTGGACGAGACTCCCGACGCGGCCGCCTTGCAGCTGGTGGCCGTGGCCGGGGCGGAGCGCGAGAAGGGCGACTCCATCGCGCTGTACCTGCCGGACTACGGGTGCGAGAGGCGGCGGAGCGCAGAGCAGGCGCGAGCAGCTCGTCAGCTGCAGCTGGCGGCGCCAGGCCTGCGGCTGCGCATGATCCCGCACGACCCTCCGCTGGCAGACGGTGCCGGCGGCCTGTACTACATCGCGCCTCCTCGCTTCCCAGGTGATGCGAGTGGTAAGGCGCGGAAGCAGCTTCGCAATGACGTGCTGACCGCGGTGGCCGCCGTCTTGCGAGAGTGTGCCGCGCGGTGGCCCAAGGTCGTGATCGGGACGGGCCACGGCGGGCTGGTGGCGGCTGCAGCGGCCCACCCCAGAGTGGTGGAGGCCGCTCTCGCGCTGCGGTACGCGAGAGAGGCGGAGGGCATGCAGGTCGCGGAGGCGTGGGTGAACGTCAGGGCGTTCGTGGCGATCGGGCCGCGCGCCCACAGCCCGAGCAGGATCGGCTTTGTGCGAAAGGCGTTTCCGGAGTTCGGAGCGGCTGCCCACGGCGACGAGCGCCCGGCCCCCCTCTATTTGGTGGAGGGCGCCGGGGCGCACCGCCGTTTCGGGCAGGACCTCGGCGAGGCGCTGGGCGTGAAGGTGTCGGCCACGCTGGGCGAGGTCCTCATGCAGGAGGTGGTCTCTGCCCCCCCGCGGATGCTGGAGTTCAGCGGGGGGCGCTGCGCGTGCGGGCGGAGTTCGCTGGTGCTGGCGCGGTGCGGCCAGTGCATCAGGGCCGACCGCGAGCTCGAGGAGGAGGCGCGGCTGGCTGAGGCGCCGGAGGAGGCGTTCGGGGAGCCCGACGTGGTCGACGTGGCGGCCTCGGCGGCGCGCATGCGCGCGGTCCGCCCGCAGCCGGCAGTCGCCGTCGGGCCTGGCCCCTGCATCGCCGTGTCGGCGGAGCTCGTGCGGGACCTCCTGGAGTTTGGCGGCGGCCGGGCGGATTTCACGTGCAACTGCATCCGGGTCCGCCGAGCGCCGGCTGCGGGCGTCGTGGCCTTGGAGGCCGCGCGGGTTTTTTCCTATCGGCTGTCGTGCTTTGTCGTGCCGCAGGGGCCCGAGCCGGGCGTGGAGGTGGCGCTGGCGCAGCCGTGCGTGGAGTTCGGGCTGGAGCTCGTCACGGAGATCGACGTGGAGCTGCTGCAGGCGGGCTTGCCGAAGGGCGCCGAGCTGGTCCAGCTCTTCGCCTGCGCCTGGCTGCTGTGGGAGGGCGGTGCGCGCCTCCCCGCGCTGGGCGCTACTCACGTGCATCGGCACTGCAGGGGGTCGGCCATCTGCAACGGTGCGGTCGTCAAGGTGTCCTCCTACTCCTCCGCCTACTCCGAGGTCTTCGCGGGAGCCCTGGGGTTATCGTGGTACCGGGCCCTCCGCGATCGCTTCGGCGGGCGGGCATCAGGAGCCTTCGTCGAGTTCGCGGACTCCGACTTCGCGCGCGGCGAGCGGGAGGCCTTCGAGGTGCCGGACGTCCTCGGGGCGATCACCGGCATGCGGGCGCCGACGTCTGAGCAGGTGTGCTCCGTCGGGCGCGTGGCATGTGCCCCGGAGCGCGGCACTGCAGCCTTCGACGCGGAGGTGGCGGACGGGCGCAAGCTGGAGGACGCCGACATCGCCATCAGGGAGGAGTACGCCGCGAAGGTGCGGGGCTGTGAGCCTGAGGCGGGGAGCGAGCCGTTCGAGCTGTCCAAGTCGCTCCGTGCCCACATCATCGGGGACCAGTGGAAGGACGAGGAGTGCGGGGCCACCTGCATGCAGCTCCGCGCCGAGCCTGGCGCCGGCGACACCCCCGAGGCGCAGCGCCTCGGGGAGGACTTCGCGCTCGAGCAGTTCGTGACGGTGGGCCCAGGGGAGCAGCGCTGGCTGCTAGTTCTCCCTGCGTCTGGCGGACCGGGCTCGGGTATATCGTGGAGGCGTTTCATCTTCCTCCACGTTCACGCTGGCCCGTCGGGGGCCACAAGACGGTGGTCGCCACTCGTGAGTGCGCCCGGCGGCTGGTGGTTTGGCCGGGGCTCGCGGCGGACATCGAGAAGTGGTGTGCTAGCTGCTGGGCCTGCCTCCGATTCAGGAAGCAAACTACGAAGGTGCAGGCCAGCTTCATCGTGGCACGGCACCGGCTTCCTTTTCATCATGTGGTCATCGACGTGGAGGGCCGCATCACCCCCCCCGACGTCGACGGGCACGCGTACGTGCTGACCTACATCTGCGTGACGACGGGGGCGCCCCTGCTCGAGCCGCTCAAGCACCTGCAGCACTCCGAGGTCCGGCGTGCCTTCTTTCGATGCGCGACTCGGGCCAAGACCTGGCCGATGCTTGTGAGCTCGGATCGGGGCAAGGAGTTCTGCAACGCTCTCATGGAAGAGCTCTGGGCGCTCCTCAACTTCGCGGGCCGCTTCGGCACGTCGTGGAGGCCCTGTGAGCAGGCGGACGCGGAGCGGTCCCACATCGAGTGTGCGAGGGAGATCGGCATTTTCCTGCACGACGTTTTTAAGTGTGCCCCCGGCCAGTGGGCCGAGCTGCTGCCGATCGTCGAGTTCGTGTTGTGGAACTCGCCCGGCAAGTCGGCGCTGTCGCCGAGGGACCTCTGCATGGGTTGGTCGCTGGCTTCGCCGCTGGAGAGGGAGCTGCTGCCGCTGGAGCCCGCCGTTCGTGAGGCGGTCTCCGACGTCGCGGCAGCGCAGTTCGAGCAGTTCAGGCGTTTGCGGGAGGTTTATCTTCAGCATCGGGCTCGAGCCGGCCGACGCAGGGCGGAGCTGGCCAATCGCACGAGATCGTCGAGACGCCCGGAGGTCGGGGACATGGTTTTGTTCAAGGACCCGAAGCTCTCCAAGGCCGTGGCCGGGCACGCTCCCGGCCGCCGGCCTCTGCGTGGCCCCTTCGAGGTCCTCTCCACGAAGGGCAACGTGGCCACGTTGCGGGACCCCGAGACCCAGCAAGTGCTCAAGGACGTCCACGGGGATTTCTTGGTCGGCGTCCCGGGCTTGGTTGACGACGCGGAGCGCATCGTGAAGTTGGAGGAGGACGACGGCCGTGGCAGGGCCTCTGCCGGACAGCTTCTGGCAGCGCGGCTGGCCCCTGGAGGCGGCGAGGCCGCCGAGGCGCTGGCGCCGCGCGTGAAGGCGCGGATGCGAGAGGTGAAGGTCGGGCGGCTTGTCGCCTACCAGGGCGAGGAGGCGAAGCGCTGCAGGGTGGGCAAGGTGCTGAGCCTGGCCGAGGACCTGAGCAGCGTGACGGTGCACGTGTACCAGGCGGCGGTCGACGGACGGCTGCAGGTGGTCTGGACAGCGGCGTACGACCGCCAGGAGGGCGCGGACTTCCAGCGGCAGAGAGTCGAGACACTGGAGGCGAAGCGGGTGCTGGGTGTCGTGGAGCTCAACAAGGGCGTGCTGAACCACTCGGCAGCGAGCAGGCTGGCGCGGGCCGGCTGGCGGCTGGACGAGGGGACCGTGCGTCACGGCGCCTTGGCGGCGGCGGCAGTAACGCCGGCCGCGCCACGGCTCTCCGACCTCCCCTCGAGCCGCGTCATCGCGCTCGTCGCAGCTTGCCGCCCGCTCGAGGAGCTCGACCTGAAGATCGGCGAGGTCCAGGCGTGGGCGCACGGCGCTCCCCTCTTCGTGGAGATCTTCGACGGGGTCGGGAGGCTCTCGCAGGCGGTCCGGAGCTTAGGCGCGGCCAACGCGGTGTGCAGCGTGGTGGCCGGCATCGACCTCAAGCGCAGGACGTACGGGCAGTACTGGGACCTCAGCAGGGCTAAGGACCGTGCCCGGCTGCGCTACCTGCTCTTCGAGGTGCTGAGGCCGGCAGGAGCCCACTGGGCGCTCCCTTGTGCTAAGTGGAGCAGCCTCGGGGGCCACCAGCCCGACGCCAACGCGCACGCGCTAGCCTCCTTCACCATGGACGGCCTCGAGCACTTCGACGGCGCGGGCTGCCTGGCCTCCTTCGAGGGCCCGCGAGCGCACGCGCTGGTGGCGAGCGTGGAGTGGCAGCAACGGTTCGGGTCAGCCGAGGCGCCGCGCGGGCGCTGGCGTTACGTGCTCCCCGACGGCTGCATGTTCCACTGCAGGAGCCCGGATGAGGAGCCCCTGGCCATGCAGAAGCCGTACGTCATCGTGGGCAACTTCCCGCTGGACTTGCTGGACGTCCAGTGCCGCCGTGGAGCGCTGCGGCCGCTAGGGCGCGGCCTCGAAGGCGTCGAGGTCGCCTCCGCGGAGCTGGGCAGCGTCGCCGGGAGCTCCATGATCGGGGCCGCGCGGGCGCTGGAGGGGCCCCGCATGCCCTGCGAGCCGGGACGCGCGGCCGCTCCGGCTGCTGGGGTGACGAGGTCGGTGGACAAGCTGAGCGACGCCGAGATGGCGGAAAAGAAGGCACGGCGGGAGCCGGCGGCGGCGGCGGCGAAGAAGAAGTGGGCCGAGCTGGCCAAGAAGGGTGACTGGGACCAGGTGCGGATGCCCGGCAAATGCTTCAGGTTTGCCGAGGTGAAGGTTTCGCCGAGGCGCTCTGCGGAGTACAAGGCCAAGGTTCTGGAGGCGGTCGGGCTCGTCGGCGAGTGCGCGGGCTACAAGCACCTGGGCAGCCAGGAGCTGGAGGCGCTGAAGGAGATGATCAGCCTGAAGGCCGAGGCGTTCTGGGTGAAGGGCACCGCGCGAACGGTCATGCGCGGCTTCAAGCACGACGTGGTGACGACCGGCTTGCCTGTGCGTGGGCCGCCGATCCGCCTGAAGGGCCCCGAGGCTTCCATCGTCCGCGAGGAGCTCGAGGCGGGCGTGGAACAAGGACTGTACTCCAGGGGGACCTCGCCCTGGGGCAGCTGGGCCTTTCCGACCAAGGAGCACGCGAGCGGCCGGAGGCGTCGGACCGTCGTGGACTACCGCATGGTCAACCGCAGGATGGTGATGTTCGTGTACTACATCCGCCGGTGCCGAGACGTCAAGGGCGAGCTGGTGGGCTGCGCCTTCATCTCCGGCATGGACGGCGCTCGCGGCTTCAACCTCCTGGTCAACACTGAGCACGCGAAGGAGGTCCTGGCTGTGCTGGCGGACTGCGGCTGCTACCTCCCCGAGGTGCTGCAGCTGGGGCCAGCGACGGGGCCCTTCGACTTCCAGTTCTGCACCGACGAGCTGTTCACCGGCACCGGCCGCGGACGCTACGGTTCGGTTTGGAAGAACTACATCGACGACTTCTGGGTCAGGACGGGGCAGTGGCTGAACGGTCGCGCCTACACCGACCGAGAGTACGAGGAGATGCTGGCAGCGGCATCCCCCCCCCCGGCTGCCTCTCGCCCGCTGGGCGACTCGCTGGCAGCAGCCGGGTTCGCGGGGACTCGCAAGGCCAGCCAGAGCTACGACCACGCCAAGGGCGTGCTCGTGGGGCTGTGCGTGGCGCAGTCGGCCACGGGAGCGGCGGCCATGGACGGCGGCGGGGTTGCCTTGGCGAACGGCCTCCGCATGCTGGTGGTGGCTGCCGCGGTGCGCACGGCATCCTTGATGGATGAAGGGCTGCGCGCGGGCGTGCAGCTGACGCAGGACATCTTCGAGGCGGCCGGCGACCTGGTCCAGAGCGTCTCCTGGAACCTCAGCGGCCTCATCCACGAGGTGTGCGAGGGTGCGGTCCTGGTGGTGCGCGTCCTGGTCGTCGTGCAGTGCTGCTACGCTCTCTACTGCCTGCGCTCGTGGGTGGCTTGCCGTTCGCAGCGGGCGGCGCTGGAGCGGGCCGCCACCGCCGGCGAGGCGGCTCAGCGCGGACTCACGTCCAGCGCGCGAGCCTGCGAGGCCGGCGACGGGCCCGCCTTCGGCCGCGAGCCGATGGCCAGGGCGGCAGCCGCTGGGAGGAGCCCGGGCGGGGCCCTCTCATCAGCAGATGGCGCCGCCAGCCCTGTGGTGGCGCTGTGGCGCGAGGCGGAGTTCGAGACGCCCCTGCTCGGAGCGGCGGCACGCCCCCGAGCGGAGGTCCTCCAGATCCAGCGGAGCGCGGCGGTGGCGCTGCGGGACCTGGAGCACTCGGACCGCCAGCGCGCCGCGCGCGCGCGCGACCTGGCCGCTTGCGGTGCGGTGGTGTCCGCAAAGCTGGTGGAGGCTGCGCGCAGCTCAGCAGTGAAGGACGCGGGCGACCTGTGCGAGTTCGAGGTAGAGGTGGCCGGCAGCCGCGGCGTGCGGTATGATGTGCGGCTTCGCGCTGGACGCTCGGCCGCAGCGTTGCCCCCCGCGTCGTGCACCTGTGCCGACTTCGTCGGCGGCGTCGGCAGCCCCTGCAAGCACATCGGGGCGGCCTGGTGCTGCGCGGTGGACGGCAACTTCAGCGAGCTGGTGGAGCTGGCGCTCGCGGCTGGCCGCAAGGAGGGAGCTGCCGCTGGGCCTCAGCGACGCGCGGCCCTGGCGCCGAGCGACTCCCTTGGCCTCGCGGGGGCCGTGCGGGAGCTCCGCGACTCGGAGGCCGAGGTCGTGCGCCTGCGCGAGGAGGTCCAGCAGCTGAAGGCGCAGCTGGGGGCGACCTCCAGGCGCGGAGCCGTGACCGAGTTTCTCTCGGCGTCGGAGACGCTGGCGGCTTGGGCGCGGGCTTGCGGTGAGGCCGAGAGCTATGTGTATGTGGCGTGCTTCACCTTCGACCAGCCGGGCGTGGTGAACTACCTGGAGGCGGCTCGAGCTCGAGGCCTCACAGTCCGTCTGGTGTTCAGCGGCCGTGACAAGGCCTTGACCAACAACCAGGGGCCGCGCCTGCAGCGGCTCCGAGCCTGTGGGTGCGAGGTGCGCGCTCACAAGGGCTCGCGGCTGCACGCCAAGGTGATGATGACAGAGCGCGAGATCGTGCTGGGCAGCTGCAACTTCACGACTGCCAGCCTGGGCAACGTGGAACGCGGGGCCAGCCTGCAGGAGCTATCCGAGGAGACGGTGCTCGAGCAGAAGGAGTGGTTCGAGCAGCTGTTCGAGGCGGCGGCGCCCTTCAAGGACGGGATCGGCGAGGTAGTTCCTCCGTCGCCGGCCCGGTGAGGGCGCCGAGGCGCGAGGCGCCGGAGGCCGGCTGGCGCGAGGCCGAGCGGCCGTGGCGCCGAGGCGTGATGCGCTGGAGGCCCGCCGGGCGAGAGGCTCAGCGGCCGCGGCGCGGGGCGCTGGAGGCCATCTGGGCGAGAGGCCCAGCGGCCGTGGCGCCGAGATGGCAGGAGCGCGGCATTTTGCTGCGCCGTCGACGCCCGGCAGCGCCGGGAGCTATGAGCGACTGCATGGCGCCGAGTTCGGCGACTTCGAGGAATTCATCGACTTCATTTTTGTGGAGCGGCACGTCGTGGAGGACGTGCCGGGGCGCCTGTGCCGCGGAGTGGTGCCCTGCTCGAGGAGAGGGGCACGTGAGGAGCGGCATGGGCGCACAGGCGGCGGAGTGCGGGCCGGCGACGACGGCCCCGGCGACGGCGGCTGCTTGCCCCGCGCCGCCGCGTGGCTCAAGAGGAGAAAGGCCCCCCTCCTCCCTCTCCTCAGAAGCGCGGGGGAGGCGCGGGGGGGGCCCGCCCGGGGTCCGAGGGCCCGCAAGGGCCCGGCGGGCCCGAGGGCGGCTCGAGGAGGCCGCTCTCGAGGCCCAGGGGGGCCGAGGCTCCAGGTGAGCCTCATACTACTACTACTAATGCTAACACTAATACTAATACTACGACGATTACTACTGCTATTACTACTACAACTACTACTACTACTACTGCTGCTGCTGCTACTACTACTACTACTACTACTACTAATACCAATAATAATACTACGACTACGACTACGACTACGACTACTACTACTACTACTACTACTACTACTACTACTATTACTACTACTACTACTACTACTACTACTACTACTACTACTACTACCACTACTACTACTACTACAACGATGACGACGACGACTACTACTACTACGATTACTAAACTAATAACGATAATATCAACACCATTATTCTTATTATTAACTTTCTTAATCGCAATCCTAATACTAATCATAATGCTAACAATAATCATACAAGTAATAATGTTAATACTAAGAACAGTATTATTAGTAATACTGTTAATACGTGTTGAAGAGCAGATCTGAATGTGAATGAGTGCGTCTGAGTGATGAAGAAAGAAAAAGAAGGGGCGGAGGCACACACACACACACATCCAAAGAGAAGTCTATGGGGGGTGAAACATGCAAACCGCCGAACACATCTCCACAATCTGGGCGCGAATCTTGGAGTGCCCCAGCCCTGGCGGCTCCCCCTGGGGGTGCCCCAAGTGGAATGCCTGCTATATCGCGATGGACAGTGAACCACCAAACGTCAGTGGGCAGAAACCAGCAAACCACCTGAGAAACGTCCGTACGCTCCTGGCGCGAAAGGGCGAATGTCGTACAACCTGGCGGCTTCCCCATCGGGGAGCTCAAACGCAACGCCTGTTATGCCGCGGTGGGCAATGCACCACCAAAAGAAAACATCATGGGGGGGGACAGCAATACACAAACTGCCTGAGGCATCACCGCAATCTGGGTGCGAACGGGCGAATGTCATACCCCTTGGCGGCTCCCCTTCGGGGGTGCCCAAGTGCCACGCCTGCTGTATCGCGGGCGGTGTACAGTGGACCACCAACGGGGAAAAACTTGGGCGAGGGGGGGGGGGTAACATAAATATGCACACCGCACCGCATGAAACATCTCCGCGATCTGGGCGCGAACGGGCGAATGTTATACATCCTGGCGGGTCCCCGCGGGGCTCCCACGTGTCATGCCTGCTATACCGCTGTGAGTGGTGGACCACCCCAAAGCATCAATCTGGGGAGGGGGACGCGAACCCGCCTCAGACAGTCTGGACCACCCCCCAAAAACAATGTGGGCAACCCGCCCCAGACATCCCCGCAGTCTGGGCGCGAACGGGCGTGTGTCACACCTGGCGGCTCCCCCTTTGGGTGCCCCAGTGCCACGCCTGCTATATCGTGTGAGCAATGGGCCACCACAAACAAAAACATGGGGGCAGAACCAGGCAAACCGCTGGAGACATCCCCGCACAATGGGCGCGAACGGGCGAGTGTTATACAACATTGCGGCTCCCGCTTGGGGTGCCCAAGTGTCCTGTCTGCTGTACCGCGGTGGGCAATGGACCACCGGAAGAGAAACATTTGGGGGGCAGGCACAAACAAACCGCCTAAGACATCCCAGCAATCTGGGCGCGAACGAACGACTGCCACGCCTGCCATACCCCGTGGCGGCTCCCCTAGGGGTGCCCAAGTGTCACGCTTTGTATGCCGCGTCGGGCAATGGACCACCACCAGAGAAACATCTGGGAAGCAGAAACAGGCAAACCGCCAGAGACATCCCCACAATCTGGGTACGAACGGGCGAATGTCATACCCTGTGGCGGCTCCTCCTGGGGGTGCCCAAGTGCCACGCCTGGTAAGTCGTGGCGGACAGTGAACAGTCAGAGGGGGTGCAGGAACAGGCAAGCCGCTTGACACATCGTCAAATCTGTTCCGAAATCAAAAAGGTGTTGGGCGCGCAAACAAGCAACTCGCCGTATGCATTCCCCCGAATCCTGGCGTGTCCTTACCCCTGGCGCCCCCCCGCTAGGAGTGCTGAAACCAGCACCTCGCCTGAGACATCCTCAGCATCAGCTCCGAGCGCATCAGATGTTGGACACGCAAATAGGGGAACCGCTTGAGACATGTCCCCGATCTCGGCGCGAATCCTGGAATGTCCTGGCTCCTGGCGCCCCCTCCCCAGGGTGCCCAAATGATTCGCCTGTTATGCAGCTGTGAGCACTGAACAACAAGGAGGAGTATGAGCGAGTTCTGAAGCAGAAGGTGTGGGAGGTATGTGTTAGTTAGTCTGGACGTGAATGAATCCGAGAATGAGTGATTCTAGATGTGAGTGAGTCTGGGTGTGAGTGACTCTGCGTGTGCTGAGCCTGAGTATGAGTGAGTTTGAGCGTGAGTGAGTCTGACTGTGAACGAATCTGAATGTGATTGAGTCAGAATATGATTGAGTCTCATTGTGAGTGAGTCTGGATGTGGATTCGTCTGACTGAGTATGGGTGCGTCTGAATGTGGGTGAATCACTCTGTTTGAAGAAGAGGAGGAACAAAAGGGAGGTGAGGAGGAGAAGGGTCCCTCGGAACCGTCCAAATAATTTTCCACTGCGTGGAACTCCCCGTATGTGCACTCACTCGCATGGACCATTCCGCCACCAGTGCCTAGGCGCAAGAGTTTTAGAATCTAAGTGGGCTTGATTATTGACTGTGGGCGAATTTACATGTGAATGAGTTGTACTGTGAATGAGTTTCAATGGTACGAGTGAGTCTATGCGCATGCGTCCGAATATGCCTAAACTTAGGATGAGTGTATCTGCGCGTCAGTGGCCTGAGCATGACTGCGCGTGACTCCGTGGTGAATCAAATGATAGCGGTGCTCATGCAAGCGCCGTGCGAAACCCTTGCGCTTCTTTGGCTGCCCCAGAACATCTCAGGCAGAGGCTGGGCCGTGATACGGCCAGTCACGCCACGGAGAGGGTAGGCCCAATCTATAGGAACATTCGTAAAACACATCGAACTGGAACCACAGGAGAAATTGCAATACATATATATATATATATATATATATATATATATATATATATACACATACATATAGGTATGTATATGTAGGTGTATATATATATATATATATATATATCTATGTATATGTACATATATATATATACACAAATATAGGCACATGTGCGAAACACAAAGGAATCGTGCCCCAGGAAGGGCCCAATCTATAGGAACACGCGGCAAACACTTAGGCTTGGAGCCACAGGAAAGGGGCAATCTGTAAGAACAAATGAAAGTGACCTTGGCGAAAGACCCACCCATAGGAAGTTGTGAATGACGCGTTGTGGGTGCCGCTTTCGGTGGAACTCCCTATGGGCCCACTAAATGCGTGAGGAACGTGCCGTAATGGGTGGAGGAGGCGCATGCGGGCGGTGCCGCCGGGGCCTTCGGTGGGGCTCCCTATGGGCCACGAAACGTTGTCCTGGGTGTGGCTGACGCACGCGGGCGCTGTTTTTTCGCTGGAGCTCCCGATGAGGCCACGAAGCGCTGTACTGGTTGGGGGAAACGCATGCAGGCGGTGCCGCTGGGGTCTTTATGTGGAGCTCCCTACGGGACCACGAAACGCTGCACTGGGTGGTGGCCGACGCATGCGGGCGGTGCCACTGGGACCTTCGGTGGAGCTCCCTATGGGGCCACGGGAAGGGGGGGACGCATGCGGGCGGTGCCACTGTGGCCTTCGGTGGAGCTCCCGATGGGCCCACGAAGCGTTGCACTGGGTGGGGGGTCGCATTCGGGCGGGCCGCTGGAGCTCCCTACGGGACCACGAAACGCTGTACCGGGTGGGGGGGGCGCATGCGGGCGGTGCCACTGGGGCTTGGTTGAGCTCAATGGGGCCGCGAAGTGCAGTGGTGTCGCGGAATGCAGTACTGGGTGGTGGACGACGTATGCGAACGGTGCCACTGGGGTCTGTCTGTGGAGCTCCCTATGGGGCCACGAAGCGCTGTTCTGGGTGTGGCGGACGCATGTGGCCACCCTCACTGGGTCCTTACGTGGAGCTCCCTATGACGCCACGAAGCTCTGTACTGGGTGTGGCGGACGCATGTGGCCACCCCCACTGGGGCCTTGGGGTGGAGCTCCCTATGGGGCCACGAAGCGCTGTACTGGGTGTTGCGGGCGCATGTGGCCACCCCCAATGGGGCCTTACGTGGGGCTCCCTTTGGGGCCACGAAACGCTGTACTGGGTGTGGCGGACGCATGTGGCCACCCCCGCTGGGGCCTTACGTGGGGCTCCCTGTGTGGGGCCACGAAGCGCTGTACTGGGTGTGGCGGACGCATGTGGCCACCCCCACTGGGGCCGCAGGTGGAGCTCCCTATGGGGCAGTGACACGCTGTACTGGGTGTGGCGGACGCATGTGGCCACCCCCACTGGGGCCTTACGTGGAGCTCCCACTGGGGCCACGAAGCGCTGTACTAAGTGTGACGGACGCATGTGGCCACCCCCACTGGGGCCTTACGTGGGGCTCCCCGTATGGGGCCACGAAACGCTGTACTGGGTGTGGCAGACGCATGTGGCCACCCCCACTGGGGCCTTACGTGGAGCTCCCACTGGGGGCACGAAGCGCTGTACTGGGTGTGGCGGACGCATGTGGCAACGCTGTACTGGGTGTGGCGGACGCATGTGGCCACCCCCACTGGGGCCGCACGTGGAGCTCCCTATGGGGCCACGAAGCGCTGTACTGGGTGTGGCGGATGCATGCGGGCACCTACAGCGGCCGCAGGTGGAACTCCCTATATGGCCACG